AGTGCACCTAAGTGCAAGTAAAATGTATTACAAGTGCATGTAAAATGTATTATAGGTGAAAGTAAAATGTACACTTAGCATCAATACTAAGTGCACCTAACGTTATAACTAGGTGCACCTATAGGTATAAGTAGTTGCACCTAGGTGCATGAATGTTTGCGAGTGATTTTCACGGGTACTAACTACTTGTTGAACTCCCCGCAAGAACAAAAGCGATGCCAAACAGAACGAACTCAGATCAATGAATGTTAACAAGGCAAAATTACATGCACTTGTAGGTGAAAGTCAGTGCACTTGTAAGTGATTTTACCTGCACTTTTTACTTGCAAAGGTGCACCAACTACTTGCACATATAACACATTTACATGCACCACACGGCGTTGTTTTTTTTTTTTAAATTACATCTGATTCGTTGATCTAGACACATGGATGGCTAGAATATATGCACTCTTATTTCTCTCAGAGTTAGGTTTAGGTGTGGCTATATATATATATATATATATATATATATATATATATATATATATATATATATATATATATATATATATATATATATAGGGAAGGGATAAGGTGCATTTGTGGCTTTCCGTGCGGTTGATTAATGTGCCTGAGATTTGTACATAGTTTGTGTAATGTTAATATGCGTGAGTTTTGTACTTAATGTGCCTGAGTATTGTGCTTAATGTGCGTGATATTTGTGCTTAATATGCGTGAGTAGTTCAGAATTACGAGTTCAGAATGAAGCAGAACAGAAAACTCACGCACATTAACGCCCAAGCTTCTTGTTACTTCTTCCTTCAATTTGGTCATGGATTCTGAATTATCAGCTACCTTTAGTGCAGTTGAATGTTTATATAGATGACGCACGCACAGCAAAATTTGCACACCAACTAAGTGTGGATTTCTGTTGTATTATTCCCATAATTCTTAACCACCATAGCCGCCTCCGCATCATCATCATCAGGAGGGGGCAATGACTACTAGGATGGGGAAGAAGCTGACATCCATATTTTCTGCTACATTTTACACATTCACGCACATTAAGTACAAATCTCAAGCACATTAAGCACAACACTCACGCACATTGAGTACAAATCTCACGCACATTAATCAACCGCACAATTGCACGTGAAGCATTCAACCGCAAAGGGAACCTTTATATATATATATATATATATACGAAAGTTCAAATGTGGCGGGGTCTTCCCGTGTGGCGGTGCGGCAGAGTTTCAGAATACTCCAACAGTGTTAACGATAAGCACCAAAAGTGTAAGGGTAACACACCACAATGAAATGCAAAAATACTTCAAAAATTACACAACACACCCCAAAAAATACCCCATATAACTCACCACCTCTAATGGTGTATTTCCAAACACTGTATGGTGCTTTTACTCACACCTAATGGTGTGTTTTTGGTGATGCGAACCTAATTTGTGTGTGTTTTTATGGTGCATTTCTAACGTTGATGGTGTATATTTCCTTAACTATGGGTGACGCTGCACCGTTGCACGGGAGAACCCCGTCACACCTGAACTCGCATATATATATATATATATATATATATATATATATATATATATATATATATTGGTCCAAATGAGAACATATCTTTTCGTGCGATCTGTGCGGTTTACACCATTATGCATAAATGCACCACACAGTGTTAAAAAATACACCAGAATGAAATGCCACAAAATGCACCACACATAATTGTGTATTTTCGAACACTGTGTGGTGCATTCATGCATACCTAATGGTGTAAACCACACTGACCGCACGGAAAGACCTAGGAACATATATATATATATATATATATATATATATATATATATATATATATATATATATATATATATATATATATATATATATATATATATATATATATATATATATATATGCTCTAGATCAAGTGAGGACGTGAATGCATAACGAACTAGGATGGATGCACATCAATCGCACTATGCATGCACAACGAACTGCGATGGATGCACATCAATCACACTATGGATGCACAACAAACTGAGAACCAATGCACAACAAACTGAGTATGTGAAAATAAATCCATTGCGTAGAATTAAATCATAGCCATTGACTTATTTAAAGAAAGGATCAGATAAGTCCTTCACGTCCTCACCTAAGGATATGTCCTCATTTGATCCTTTATATATATATATATATATATATATATATATATATATATATATATATATATATATATTATTGGGGCATAATAATATATTTAATATTTAATATAATAATAATGTAATATAAGTAAAATTATATTAGGAAGTAAAACTAAAGACAATTTGGATTACATATATATGCATTTATTATGTTTAAGCATGAATAAAGGTAATAATAATGTTTTTTTTTAAAAGGTAATAATAATATATTTAATTAATATAATAATATATTTGGTAAGCTTCGGTAAATAAGCAAGTATACAATATACATATATACGTTTAAGATACATAATAATAATAATAATAATAATAATAATAATAATAATAATAATAATAATAATAATAATAATAATAATAATAATAATAATAATAATAAGAAGGAGTATATCGACGGTATTACTGACTCGAGGTACTGGGAATTTGTGTCTGCATTGTGAAGGTTATTTGCTACGTTGCTGACTTCAAGTTCAATTAGTAGACCCGAGGTGGTGTGGAATGCCGTTTGGGAATTCCTTGCGAAGGATGCACATTTTTATTGTCGACTTCTCATGCACAATCCATGTACATCAACATCCAATATATTTATTCGACTTTCTTATTTGCTTATCATTATTTTTAAATAAACACATTCTTTGATTTTGATTTTTTTTTCGTTTTTGGACTATGAAGATTTGTTGTTATCGGAATTGGATAAGAAACAAATTGCTTTAATTTGATAGAGTTGGAGAAGTTGTTATCTTTGTGGGGGAAAAACTTGAGGTACTATCCAGAAATGTCAATTCCAGACGAAAGCAACATTGGATTGACGGAAAACATGTTGATAGTCAAAGAGATGGCATATGACAAGGAATCGTTGAAAGTAGATCATGAAACATTGGTAACATAATTGACAGACGAACAAAAGAATGTTTACGACTCTATGATGAATGATATTAATTCTAATGAAGGAGGATTGTTCTTTGTGTATGGTTACGGAGGAACAGGCAAAACGTTCGTGTGGTGAACGTTATCTTCAAAGATAAGGAATTGCGGAGATATTGTTCTAAACGTTGCTTCAAGTGGAATAACATCTTTGCTCTTGCCGGGAGGCAGGACGGTGTATTCTCGATTTGCTACTCTCATTGAACGAAGATTCCACGTGCAATATATCGCAAGGCAATGACCTTTGCGAACTTATAATAAAGAACAAATTGATAATATGTGACGAAGCACCGATGATGCACAAATACTGTTTTGAGGCTTTGGACAAAACCATGAGGGATCTATTGAGGTTCACCATACCGGGTAGTGCTGAGAAAACATTTGGTGGAAAGACAGTAGTGTTGGGCGGTGATTTTAGACAGATTCTTCCAGTTATTCCAAAAGCAACGAGACCAATGGTTGTTAGGGCAACTATTCATTCTTCATATCTCTGGAGGAATTGCAAGGTATTGAGGCTCACGAAAAACTTTAGACTATGGAGCTTAGCTTCAGACGAAGATAGATAGACGGTTGATTGGTTCTCAAAATGGATTGCAGACATCAGAGATGAGATTACAGGGTTTGTAAACAATGGTTTGTTTAAGATCGATATTCCGCCAAGGTTTCTGTTGAAGTGTGGACCTAATCCAATCGCAACTATAGTTGAAAACACCTTCCCAAGTGCGAAATTTGGAATGCTTGAAGAGTCGCACCTAGAAGGACCAGCGATCCTGTCACCGACTTTAGATGTTGTTGATCAAATTAATCAGTACATGTGTGACATGAACACTGCAGAAGGTCGAACATATTTAAGTTGTGATTCTTTGTGTAAGGCAGAATCAGATGGTGATAATCTATCACAAGTACACACTCCTGAATTCTTAAATAGTTTGAGATTGTCTGGACTTCCTAATCATTCATTGACAATAAAGGTTTGTGCACCTATTTTGTTATTGCGAAACATAGACCACTCTCTTGGTCTTTGCAAGGGTACGTGCCTCATCGTCATAAGATTGGCGGATCATATTGTCGAAGCAAGAATAGTTAATGAGACGCATAAAGTAACCAAAGTTCTTATCCCACGAATATCTCTCACTCCTTCTGATACGAGATTGCCCTTCAAGTTCCAGCGTAAACAATTCTCGTTGATGCTAGCATATGCCATGACTATCAACAAAAGTCAGGGCCAAACACTAACTCATGTTGGGTTATTGCTGAAAAAACTGGTCTTTAATCACGGTCAATTGTACGTGGCTTTTTCCCGAGTCACTCATTCTGAAGGCCTAAATGTTTTAGCTCTAGACGAGGATGTACAAAATTTTGTTACTACTACCAATGTCGTCTACAAAGAGGTTTCAATAATGTGTAATTCAAAGAGTTATATTATGTTTTCTTTTTATACAAATATGACAAAATTGTTAGATATTTACATATAAAATATATCTGCCGTCCAAATAATTTCTATAACTGAGTTACTACACAACAAGATAATGAGACCAATTAATACAAATCCTAAACATTGATATATAAATTGTCTAATGTTTCAGCACCAGATGTGTGTATCTACATGTTATCAATTTTTTGGGTAATTATTTCATCGAATTAAAGCAATAATAACATCATAAAACATAATCGATTCAACTAAATTAACCAATTGTACTATATAATATTTGATATTATAATTTACACAAGTTAATACCGATGTAATTATTATTATTATTATTAATATATTATAACAAATACATTATGGGGTAAAAATACTACTTAAGATAAAAGAGAATAATTAAGAATAAAAAAGAAGAATAAAAAGTAAAAGGGAGTAAAAAGGGGTTAAACTTAGCATCAAAATCCATTTTCTAGTTGTTGATGAATGTAAGGATTTGTCCGAATCGTGTCATTGTCGTCCATACCTCTTGAGCTCTTGCCTCTTGGTTACTGCCCTTAGGAGGTAAAGGGGCAAACCAATCCTTCAAGAATCGAAAATCGATCAAGCAAAACAGAGATCTCGAAATTCAAATATTGAAATGCCGAAAACGTCATTAGTCCTGAAATCTTTGTGGTGGTTTCATCTCGTCGTTGCACTTCAATTCTCGTCTTCAGTTATAGCTATCAGGTAATTGGAAAAGAAAGCATCGTTTGGTTGATTAATGTTAACTAATTTCTTTAGCATTAAATATTCAATTTTGTTGAATTGTTGTAATCTTACTTTATTGAAATTTATACTGAACAAGAACCATAGTTAAAATTCTACTTTTCTGATTTTTGACGATTCATATAAAATTACAGTAGATTGTGGATTGTTTTGGATTTGCATTGTTGTTTTATTGAAGATTATGCTTAACAAGAACCATAATCATTAGTTTTTAATGTAAAGTCCTTGTGGATCTCGGAGGAAAATCATATTAGTTCATAAACACAAAAAGTTGGGAAAATATTGACATTGATATATCCATGATTGTTTTTTGTTGCATTGTAGGAAGGATGTGAGCCTGCAAAACAATTATATTTGTAGAACGACAGTACAAGGACGATACTTGATAGCTGATGATAAAGGTAGTGTTTCTTTTCTAAACCTGTGGGGACAATCTTTGCAATTTTGTGCATGAAAGTAATTTTTATCATAATGTGGTAATTTGTGCCAAAAACCTTGTGGTTGAATGGTATTAGTTCCTGACTTTTAAGTAGGAGGTCCAAATGTATCAAAGGTGATCGCTCCGTTAAAGGCTTAAAGCAATGTAGTGATCAATTAATTCCTCATCGATTTGTATGGCAAAGCACAAAGATCTACAAATTCAGACCAAAGCAAGCACTTTGGTCCGGATTGAGACTCGAGTGACAAAAAAAATATTTTTTTTAAAAAAAATATTCTTTTACTGGAGCGCAGTCAAATGGAACAAAAAATTAGAGTTAAAATATCATCTATTGGGTCAAATACTTTCCAATTCTGAGCCTCTTGTAATCTTGTTGCCTCACCTCCTTATGAAGAAGCGTTTTATCCCATCATTTGTCTCTTCCTCAAGTACCTTGATGACCCATCACCTACCACCCATGCGCCATGCCACAGCCCATGATTGCTGTTGGAACATTTTTATTGCATCTGTAGCTTTAGTATTTGCTTGGGGGGAAGTTAATAGCTTATGCTTTGGGTTTATTAAATAGTAGAAGTTAACTATTTACTATTCTCAGGAAATTTTCAGTAGGATTCAAGAATTGCCTGATGTAACTCATGTAAGATATAACAAGAAAGGGAGCAAGAAAAGAAAAGGATACCCTTGGAGTCTCTGCACAGATAGAAAAAAACCAAGTAAACTCTCTTTTGAATGACTCTTCAATGAACAGTAATATAAAAACAACTGGCTTATTAGTTTATATAGAGTTAGGCTCATCATGACTTAGCAAACATTCTATTTGATGAGTATGGATTTCTAAGCTTAACAATCCTAAAACAAGCAAGATTCTAAAATACTGAAAAGAAAAACAGGAAACTAAATAATCTATAGCCTGCCATGGAGCTTCTGGACTGCCAAAAATTGTAGTGGTATTGATCAGGAAATCTACGGATATACGTAGTTTATAATACACATATTCAATGTTACTCAGTTAAACTAAGATTGAGCATAAATGGATCACATCATTGATCATTCTCCCCGCAATGGAGAAAACTTGACCTCTTAAAAAAGAAGCATCAGAATTGCCTATTATCTTCTTCAACTTTGATGCCTTTATGTCATAACTTGAAGATTTTCCATGGTAATGGTACTGTCATCATTGTCCGTCAATTAATGTCACTACTTTTTGCCCCTCAATTATCACAAAAGTGGCTAAGTTAACCCAAATCTTAACTGAGCCGTTAAAAATAAAGGAGCTATCACTGGTGCTCCACTCTGATCTCAACAAGCAGCTTTCACCTTGCAACATCTCCCTTCCCTTCATTTTCTATCTCTCTCTCTCTCTCTCTTGGAGATTCAAATACTTTCAGATGATAAAACTTAGATCCAGTGCGATAGGAGTGTCAGGGGGCCACCTTCATTCCGGTGTACATGGGTGAGGAAATTGAGAGATTTGTGGTGAGTGCAAAGCTTCTCAACCACCCAGTCTTCATCCACTTCTTGAATAGATCGGCACTGAGCACTAGCTTTGACATTGATAGGAGGATTGAGGCTTGGCACAAGCAACTGGTGGCCTAAGAGTGAAAACATTTGGAGGAACCTCAAAGGGCTTCTGATGTTGTTTTATGAAGAGAGGGAGAATTAAAGAGTAAGGAATTAGAAGTTCTAAGCATAAAGTCACCATTAAACAACTTGTGTATTGTGCTTCTCAATCTAGGAATCAGAGGTTCTTCAACCTCAAACAAAGGGTAAAATATCAAACGTGCTGTAATCTTAATTCTTAAAAACACTTTTTGACAGGACTTTTCATCTTAAGAAAACCTGAATCCATTTCTCACTTTATTTCATGGGATACTAATAATGTCATCACTTCATCAGAATTAGAACTGAAAAGTAGATATGGAACTTTTAGTGGAGTCTAGTTAGACATCTCATTGATTTTCGGCATTCAATTCTCTTTATTTATTTATTTATTTATTCTGCTTAGCAAGAACTTTAATCTTATGCCTTGTTGAAGCTCTATCAAATCCTTAAATTGACGGTTCATACTAACAAATTCTTGATTGATGATAAGAATTTCTTAATTTTACCTCTTCAAATCATTTGCTTTCCACTTTGAGGAAAGTTAGGGAGGTTCAGAGAATGTAAAAATCTCTGGTATTCAATTATTATTCCTATTCAGTTTAAGTAATTATTGTCAAAGTGCCTCTAGAAAATAAAGAAGTTAAAAAAAGGGGGAGCTTCCTTCAATCATTGTTGTTGTTCAACATATCTCTATGTACAAAAATTATATGTCAATATTTTGTTCTCACTAATGTCTCATTGCATACTTATTAGAATATTACTATAACTTTTTACCCCACTGGGTTTTGTTGAATTTGAAAGATTTAAAAGGCCTGGCGGGTGGAGAATTACAAGCGCCCGCCAGTTAGGCGGAAGCAGAGATGAAAAATTAAGGAATGAGAAAATGTATATAGGATTGAAAGATTACAATATATTAGTATGATTCTATATTCTCTCTTTCCAATAAAGAAACATAGTGTATATATATATATATATATATATATATACTTATTAGAATATTACTATAACTTTTTACCCCATTGGGTTTTGTTGAATTTGAAAGATTTAAAATGCCTGGCGGGTGGAGAATTACAAGCGCCCGCCAGTTAGGCGGAAGCAAAGATGAAAAATCAAGGAATGAGAAAATGTATATAAGATTGAAAGATTACAATATATTAGTATGATTCTATATTCTCTCTTTCCAATAAAGAAACATAGTGTGTATATATATATATATATATATATATATATATATATATATATATATATATATATATATATATATATATATATATATATATATAGACACATAACTGTAAACACCTATTCATAAACAGACACAACCCTATAGATAAACCTAACTCTTTATTTTTCAACACTCGCCCTCAAGCTGGAACATCTGGAAGTTCCAAGCTGGTTTGAAACATACATTATACCTTACTTTAAATTACAAATGAAGATTGTTGAAAAGCATGGTTGCAGTAGGCGCTAGGTGCTAGTCGGGCGCCCGGACAGCGTCTAGCGCCTAGTTAGGCGCTAGGTGGACGCCTAGGCGGCCGGTAACCTAGGCGGGCGCCTAGGGTGGAAATCGCCACGGTCTAGAGGCGCCTAGCGCCTAGGCGGGGCCTAGGCCGGCGCCTAGACCGATTTTTACAACCCTGTTGAAAAGTAAACTAAAAGGAACCAGAACTGTCTTCTTGTTATTCCATCTTAGAAAGAACAACACATTACAAGACATTATATAGGAAGATAACAAGTATTGGGAAGGGACATAAAAGGTCTAAAACTATTCCACTCCCCAAAGACTTAAAAGCATAATAAAAGCATAATAATAAGAGTAGGCTGCTCATATTCTAACACTGCTCATATTCCAACATTCTCCCTCAAGCTGGAGCGTATAAATCAAAAGCTCCCAGCTTGCCACAAATATATTCAATTCTAGGTCCACGAAGAGATTTGGTGAGAACATCAGCGAGTTGATCGTTTGACCCAACAAATGTGGTAACAATGACTCCGAATGCAACCTTCTCGCGTGTAAAGTGGCAGTCAATCTTAATATGTTTGGTCCTTTCATGGTAGACAGGATTGGAGGCAATATGTAGAGCTGCCTGATTGTCACAAACTAGTTTCATAAGCCCAAGCTTGCAGAAATTGAGTTCTGTGAGAAGTTGCTTAACCCAAATTAGTTCACAAATCCCTAGTGCTATTGCTCGGTATTCTGCCTCTGCGCTTGATCGTGCAACCACATCTTGCTTCTTGCTTTTCCAAGAAACCAAATTCCCTCCGAATAGGACACAATATCCTGATGTCGATCTCCTATCCCAAGGACATCCAACCCAATCTGCATCTGTGTAAGGCATTTAAGAGACTGAGTAAGTTGATTAATTGAAATCAAATTGAAGGGACACCCGGGAATGTAAAGAACATTGGATAAAGATAAAGAATGATTAGTAACTTTTCCAATTCCTATAGCCTTTCCTTTTGACCCATCGCCAAAAGTGACAGCAGGAAGAGAGTCTAAGAAATCAATATGGGAGAAAAAAGAAAGGTTACCAGATATGTGATCAGTGCTCCAGAATCCAAGACCCAAACTGAGTCTGACTTTAATGCAAGAGCATGAGTCTGATTTTTGGTGACCCAGGCAGACTTCCCGGCTGGTACACTGCTTGAAATTTTATGTTTTGCCATAGTTGTCATAAAAATATGCGAAAAACACCGTAGTGTCGCAGGAACAAGGCGAGATGATCTGGAAATTTTGGCCGGAAAACAGTGAGCAGTGTCGCCGGAGCTTCTTTTGAAGGAATGTGGCACCAATTCAGTGAATAAAGCTCTTAGTTTGAGATAGTATAGAAAAGTGATGATGAACACCGTTTTTCACGGTGAGTTCGTCTGGAAATTTTCAGGCCCTTCAAAGGAGGCTCTGATACCATGTTGAAAAGTAAACTAAAAGGAACCTGAACTATCTTCTTGTTATTCCATCTTAGAAAAAGATCAACACATTACAAGACATTATATAGGAAGATAACAAGTATTGGGAAGGGACATAAAAGGTCTAAAACTATTCCCCTCCGGCCCTCCCCAAAGACTTAAAAGCATAATAATAAGAGTAGGTTGCTCATATTCTAACACTGCACATATTCCAACAAAGATTAAAAGCAGCTAGAGGATAACAGTGTTGGATGGCTTCGGAGGGATGATGTTATACACAACCCTTAGGAATGAAGGCACTAAGGGTGAAGCTCAACACAGACAACCTTGGGAATGAAGGCACCAAGAGTGAAGCTTAACACAAACACCCTCACAACAACATAAGCACTCTAGGATTTGCCAACAACAATCTTCATCAAGAGAGGCAGAACAAACAAAGCATGAGCAGCAAGGGGGAATGTAGTAGAGCCCATAGTAATGACAAATACACCCAAAGAATAAAATAAAGTATGAATACCGAAAACACCTTATATCCTCTTCTTATAGGATAAGTGAATAACCACACGGGAAGTTATCTTTGCACTTGATCCATTATATATATATACACACACACACAGACACATAACTGTAAACACCTATTCATAAACAGACACAACCCTATAGATAAACCTAACCCTTTATTTTTCAACAGGTTCCATTTATAGTTGTGGAAAATTTATTTTGTATCCCTAGTGTTATTACATAATGCAAAAAATTTTCCATGTTCGATTCTGCTAAGTGCTAACTGCATGGCACTTCTTATAGCCAGTGTTTAACAATTGTAGGTCAAGTCTGTGATGCTCTGTCAGTTGATCCACAATCTCGCTGCTGTCATGGCAAAGGAGAACAGTTCTCTTGCCAGTGAGTTGTCTCAAGTTTATGATGTGGAACACTTTTTTCATTAAGTCACTACTTCATTTCGAGCATACAAATATGCTTAAAAAGAGAACAAGATCTGATATTTCTTATTTTATTTCCCTCTTGTAGCGGCTGCAATCTGCTCTCACAATGCTGCAACTCGTATGAATTTTGTGTTGCATGCTGCCTGAATCCATCTAGGGTAATAAACTGCACTAGGTTTTCTTTTCTCTATGTTTTGGTAAAGATTTTCCGCTTATATGTTTTACAACTTATGTTGCTAAATCTGCTGCAGACACCAAAGGAACTAGCACTAAAGGTGAAGATTGCAAAGCCTATAACAGCTGGTAGGTCCTCTAATTGTGTTGCACTTGAAATAGTAAACTTTTAAAGTAATGTAAGGAAAGACTAAATCTGAGGCACTACCTACCAGAGTTGTTATCTAACTGTATTATTTATTTTAAAATTTTGGAACTTTATTTAAAATGACTGGTCATTGGAAAGTAATAAATGTGTTCATTTAGATGGCAGCTTTTTTTATCAGTCATGTGTCATGAAGATGCATTTCAGTTAAGTTGATTTCTTTTTTGAAATCAAGTTAAGTGGATTTCTGAACTACTAAAGGGGTAACTGACCCTTGTTACTGCCATTAGTGTGGTATGGCTTCAATTCATGTTATTTTCTTTCTTGCCCTTGTTTAAAAAATATATATATTTCTACTATTTTTCTCTATGTAAAAGTACTCACCCTACACACACACACACACACACACACCTCTTCCCTAATCAAATAAATGAATACAGTGTATTAAATATAAAAGTGCCAGTAACCAACTCTTTTTTTTTTTTTTTTTGTTTGGAAAAAAGTTCCTCTTTAGAAGAACAGAAGCTGATACATTTGTTTATTTTTCTTTGCAATAACATTATTTTATGGCTATGTGCCTATGTAGAGAACCTATGATTTAAACTTCACCACAAAAAGTAAACGACTGAAGTTTATACTTTATACTTGGCTATGAAATTAGCCATCTTTCACTGCAATACGTACATACATACATACATGTGTGTGTGTGTGTGTTTATTTTCTTATCTTTAGTTCTGTATGATGATATTTGTATGCTCTTCATAGTTACTACAGATTAGCATTAAGTAATGATGTTCAGGTAAAGTTCTGATAATAGACTTTTGCTTTTTATGCACTTGGCCTTAATGTTTTAATTTATCAGATTTAATGTATATAAATAATAATTAAGGATATCAGTGTCTCTGCAGGGTTTTACTTCTAACTGTAATAACAGATCTTCCAAAACCTTTCTTAGAAGAAGAAAAAAATGTAAGAAGGAATTTTATCAACAAAAGTATTTCCCAACACAATTTATTTTGGTTTTTTAATTTTTCAATAATATGTTCTAATTGTTGATTGAATTATGGAGTTCTGTGCTTCTGGCTCCACACATTTTGATTGGGGTTTACACATAGATGTTGTATCTTTGCATGATTTCTGCAAGGTTGATAAATGTTGCTCATTATTTGACAGGAACGTATTCAAGTATTTTTGAGTTTTGTGCAGGCAGATGTCGTCATAATTCAGAGAGTGTGGTGAGTATCTTTTTCTTGTTTACCACTCAAGTCAAGGATTCATATGGGTGCTAGTGTGCTAGAACCATTTGCTTTCAAGTTCATTTTCTAGGTTCTAGTCAAACTAAAGCAGCAGGATACCTTTCTTATCTTATACTTTGAATGGATGATTGTTGTTACTTATTAGTCATTTGAATTTTAGAGAAAAGGGGCAAATTTGGCTTACATAGTTACATAAACATTTTCTAATTCACTTGGATGGCCATCATTTGTTTAGAACTATATAATTTGGTCTCCCAAAATGAATATTCTATTATTCTAATCCTTGGATCATAGCCTACTGAAGACTCATTTAATTTCAGCCTTGCTTTGGCATCATCATTTGACATCAGTCTCTTCTTGCAGATATGCAAGACTTATTTATTTTATTTTACTTTAGGCAAAAGAGTTAAATAAGCTCCCTAAGTTAGCGAACTGTGAAATTAAACTCTCTAATTTTAAAAAGCTCCTTCTAACCCTTTTAAATCGGCAAAAATGGTGCAATTCTGTCCAAATATTACTTATTCAACAGGTTACCGCTGCTGTGGCTAACATGTGACATTCTGATGTTATGTGGATCCAAGTATATAATTTGTAATTTATTTATTTTTGCATTTTTTTAAAGAACAGCCATTGACTTTTTTCGAAGGAGACAGTTGTGGTTGTCTGCTAAAAACTAAAAGACAGCCATGGCTGTTTTGTGTCCAGATATGGACTGGAGACAAAGGTGGCCATTGCCGCCATCGTTTCAAAGTCTTGGCTGTCTAAAAAAATGGAATTTAGTTTTTAGACATCCATCAATGATGGCTGTCTGACTGTCTCCTTTGAAGACAGTCCGTGGCTGTTCTTAAAAAAAAACGAAAAAAAAAAACACTTGAATCGACATAAGCATCAGAACACCACGTGTCACAGTGTCAGTCACATCAGCAGTAACCATACATAACATTTGGACTCAATTGCACTGTTTTTTTTTTTCCCCGGTTAGGGGGCTCACTTGCACTATAACTTAGAGGGCTTATTTGACCCATTTTCCTTAATCTTATTATTTATTGTCTTCAATTTGGTTAAATTTGTTAATGTTTGTTTTGCAAAAAATGTTATTAATTCAGAAAGAATAGTGAATGACAAAGAACTGCTAGGGGTGCTGTCACTGAGCTTAAATATTTGATATATGGTTAACCTTTTAGGTCCATGAAAATGCTTACCACAGTGAATTTCACCATTGTTTCTCCATACCATCAAATTCTTCAGGTTAGTACTTAACTTTTCTTGCTGGTTAAAAGTATAATATTTTCTGTATTCTCTCTATAATAAGGTGGCATGAAGACTCCCATAGTAGGGTATTTCAGAGAACTCTCTGAAAGTGTGAAGCATCCTATTCTAGCCTATTTATGTTCTGTTTTTGGCTAAGTAGGCTGGTTATAATTTATAATCACATTTTTTTCCTTTGCTAATTGGTATCAAGGCTGGGGAAAGTGTTATTCCTCATCTGTTATTTATTTTGGTTATCATCATTAGTAATCAGCAAAGAGGAATAGGTATGTGCATGTGTATATATCTGAGATAAGGTTGAGAATATTGTGATAAAAATATAGAGGAATACGTATACATATGTGCATATGTGTATATATATGAGGAGTTGAGAGTGTGAGACTGTGAGACTCATGAGAGGAAGAAGTAAAAGCCTAGACTAGAGCCACTCTGATTGTCTGGCAAGGCAAATAAAAAGGTTCTGGAAATCGGTTCTTAAACCATAACAACGTTCAGGCCTGGAACCATGCTAGACTTGAGCCACGGTCATAACTATTCTGATGACAATGCAAAACCAATGTCCCTGCCAACCATCAATGCTTTCAAAATGGCTAGCTGACACAATACAAAGTTCTGTTTACCCCTTGCCAAGCACTGTCCTCATCTCTGAAGGTTTTCACTGGCATTGCCTAGAGTTTTAAGTGAGGGCACGAGACTGCAAAGAAAAAGATAAGATGCCATGTTGGTTGTGGGTCACAATCGGATCAGGCGTTGAGCTTGCTAGATGTGAGTTGAATAAATGGCATTGGATTAGTCTGTTTGATTATGGTTCTATTGAATTAGGCCAAGGTTGGCCCAAATATTTTAGATCCTTTACTTTTTCTATTGGATTAGGCTATACATAGTGAGAAGGGAAAAATAGCAAAGAATTGTGACCAGAAATGGGTATTGAAGCCTCAGAACGGTGATATATGTGTCAACCATTAATATTTTATGATGTGAGTGAATTAGGAACTAATGGCATGAAACTTGGGGAACAATGGTGGTGTTGACTGGTCAATTTTAAAAAGTGGGGATAAGGACCATCAGAACCTTGAAACAATAAGGAACAAAAAAAAATCTCCTTAAACAATAAAGGGTCAACGTGTAATGTTCCAAAGCGAAAGTTTCTCAAACTGTTTATGCATAAAATTTTAGTATGCTCAGTGGGGATTAGATATATATTTGAATTAGCTACGATTGTTCCTATGAGTTTATGTAACCTTTTTTGTTTTTGTTTTAAATATGTAATATAATAGGGTCCTCTGAGAAGCCCATGGAATCAAGATTGATTGGGATTAACATCATCATTGGAAGGTTGGAAATTTAATTTATAATTCTTCTGTGGTTGGAATTCAGCTGATTCTCAGATATTGTTCATTATTATGCATGGTGCTGGGAAAAAGGCAAGGGGAATCATGTGATTTGGTATGCAAATCAAGTGGTGAATCTTGTGTACCCAGCAAACTACTGCTGCTTAATCAATGTGAAATGTAAGTTTAATATGCATGCAATCATAGATTTGTTCCTCTTGCTCTGTCTTTATCTCTCCCCCCCTGCCACCCATCCTCTGGCTCCCACCTTGCTTGACCTGAAGAAGTGAAGCTATTGAACCCATTGGACTAGTTTAATTTCTCCAATTCCTTTTAGATACAAATACTTATTTCTGGAGTCCTTCCTCAACAATGTGTGATACTGTCTAGATTCTATATAGTGGGAAGATCTAATATCCCTGCTTCTTTGGAAAGGACTAATATATGTGGGGGTTACAAGGGATTTTCTTTTATTTATTTACAGTTGATTGTTTGTGCTTAATTTTTAATCATTTTTTTCCGTTTCTCTATGGTACTTGTGTCAGTTTTCTAATCAAAGAAATCTCCCTCGGAAAGCTAGAATGACTAAAGAAACTTGGACACTTCTTTTTAAATTATCGAGCCAACAATAAATGATTAAGTTAAAATAGGGATCATATAAGATCTTTGGGATTTTTTTTTATTTTTTATTTTTGCTTTTTGTGGTCCTTGCAAGAGTCTGTATGGAATATGGATATGGATTATGGCATGATCTCCATCTCATTTTGGTTATGCAGAAAAGCTCTTTGAATAAGCTATTACAGAACAATTATAATCTATTTTGATGCAGACTTGTTTTGAATGCGATTTTTTTTTCTCCTTTATCTTGACACCATTAAATATTTTGTCTTAAACCTGACTTTGTCTCCCATGAACAGGATACAGAAATACTTGAGCTGTAAAGGTGGATGCTTGGCCAGTATTGGAGCAGACCAACCTGCTGAAGTAGTTGATGATGCCCCTGAAGACCTGGTATAGTACTCCTTTTGTGCTATATATTCTGGATCTCTCTTTATTATGTTGCAAATTATATGCTCCTTATCTGATCAGACAAAATATGTTCTCTTTAGAGAGATTTACAAGCAACTAGCTAATACTTATGAGTCATGCCACACACAAAATTACTTTATAGAGGAAAACATAGTCTCTGCTTTAAAAAAGATTATCTGTTTCATAAAATTATTAGTAATCTGGTGTTATTTCTCATTTGTGCAAGTACTATAGAAATGCAAATTATGTATATTTTGGTCATAAATTTGATGTGGTTAGAATATGAAACATAAAGCCATAAAGGACAAAAAGTGACTCCCATGCATATGCATCCTTTTTTTTTTTTTAATTTTATATTAATTTATTATTATTTATTTGAAAAATTCCACGTCTGCGACTTACTTATTATTGCAGGTAATTAACCTGTTGTTGGGTCTAAATGCACGAAAATAACAAGTTCATAGGTTTAATTGCAACTTTTAAAAGTTCAGGGGCCTAATTGACTTCTCGGATAAAGTTTAGGGATGTATTTGACCCTTTTCCCTATTATTTGTGTACTGAATATATAGTATTTGATAGTATGGTCCATACAGTTGTGTGGACCATGTGGAAATAATTGGTTATTTGTTGTCCACGTGTCATTCTAATATGGGATATTAAGATTTCATTCCTTCTAATATGGCTATTTTAGCTTCAATTAAGATTTCATATATTAGTTAGTCACATGAGTCACAGCCTAAAGTAGTTTTTTTTTTTTTTAAATGTATATAATTTTTCACCATTTTTGTTCATTTTTTTGTTTTTTGTTTTTTGCTCAGGAATCTGGGGCATGCTTGTATACTACTTCGCAATCTGTGCTTTCTTGCAGTGGCTCACATCAGCATACAAGGAGGCTTTGCCCATGCGTATAGTACATGTTAGGTATAAAACATGGAATAATTACTTCATTGCTTTTACCTGACCTCTCCCATTTATATTTTTCCAGTTTTACTAAATTTGCAATTTAACTTTTAACTTTTATCACTGCACCAGAATGATGGAATGGAAAATGAAAATAGATATTCTTGTTTGCATCAGGAATTATACTGAACACTTGAGTTATCTAATTATTGTGAAGCTTAATTAGGGCTGAAATTTGTCTGTATGTGTATGCGGCTCTTGTAAGGGTGTGCTTGAAAGAGCGGTTGAAGCGGTGGACCACTTCAATTTCTCTCGATAAGTCGTTTGGATGAATTGCAGTTTGAGATGTTGGAATGGTGAATCACGCCAGTCGCAAAAATTTCAATTGGAGGCCGGTGTTGGGGTTTGGCGGGAGTGGTAGCTATGGTATCATTTCAATTTCAATTTCACTGTCACCGGTCTAATCTCATCGTTCTTCCAAATGGAGCCTAAGCATCAAGTTGAGAATAGCGGCATTTGAGTTGTAATTTTTGTTTTCCAAATGAATGGATACAACTTGTATGGAAAATTACAATTCTTTTACCCTGAATTATATGTTTATAGCATTTTTCCTTCCGAATTATTCATGTATTCACATTTTTCCCTTCAATTATGTTAAAAGTGGTGGTTTTTCTTCCGTTTTATGTTAGATGGACATTCTTACCCTAACAAATAAATATTTCATTTATTTTTTTCTCCAACAAATTATTAATTGTATGTATGGATGACCACGGTTTAATTCGAACCTAGTCGGACATTGTAGCAACTGAATCAAAACAGTAGGGACGGTTCTGGTTACGATTCAAATTTGAAAAAAATAATTATTAAATTTAGACTATTTTAAAAATAAAAAATAAAAGTTACAAAAATAAATAAATAAATTTGGTTTTGAACAGTCAGTTTAAAATTTATTTATTTTTGTAAATTTAATTTCTTATTTTTAAAATAGTCTAAATTCAACAATTATTTTATTTTATCTTTATTGTTTTAATTTGGTTGCTACAGTGTTCGGTTATGTTCGAATCAAACTGTGGTCATTCATACATACAAGCAATAATTTGTTGGGGTGAAAACCACCACTTTTAACATAACTGAGTGGGCAAATGTGGGTACATGAATAACTCAGGGATAAAAAGTGCTATAAGCATATAACCCAAGAGAAAAAAGTGTCATTTCCCAAACTTGTATTACTAATGTAAACCACATCTCGCTTTTGTTCTTACAAAAAGCTTTTGATAGAAAACATGGTGTTAGAAATAAAGTGTAATAGTTTTGATGAGCCAAATTATAATTTTAGAAAATTTCCAATTTTATTTTGAGTTTAGATTTAGATAAATAAATCTCCTAAGTGAAAGTGAAGCCAAAGTTCATACATATTAGTATTTGGAAAAGAGTTAATATCCAAAATCGTCCTCGACTATAGTGGTTTTTCTCAATTTCGTCCTAAACGACTTTGGTGACCTAATATCGTTCCAGACTTTTGTGTTTCGCTCAATTTAGTCCTCCATTTGTTATTCCGTCAAATTGATGTTAAATAAAGGGACAATTCAGTAATGTCAATATTGATCTCTCTTTACTTTCAACTTGTGAAGTGCGAAATTCCTCTTTCTTGTACGAATTACACCTAGAATTACTCCCGGACCTGCAAATCAAATTTTATATTCGCAGTTTTAAGAGTAATTCTGGGAGTAATTCGTAAAAAAAAAAAAAAAAGATTTCGCAGTTCACATGTCTACGAGTAAAGAGATGCCAATATTAAAATTACTGAATTGCCTATTTATTTAACACCAAATGGACAGAATAACAAATGAGGGACTAAATTGATCAAAAACACAAAAGTCTGGGACTAAATTGAGCGAAACACAAAAGTCTGGGACGATATTAGGTCACCAAAGTCGTTTAGGACGAAATTGAGAAAAACCACTATAGTTGAGGACGATTTTGGGTATTAACTCATTTGGAAAAATAGAGTTCTCTATGATATATGCTACTTGTAAATCAATGCTTCCATTATAACCAAAAGACCAAGTGGAGTGTTGGAGATGGACTCATCATTATTGAAATAGATAGAAGGTTGTGTGATCAAGTCTTCGGCTAGGCATTTTTATTTTAGTGCCAAAGATGGAGATTGAGAAGAAGGCCAATAGGTTAATATGAAGCTGTAAGTGTATAATTTAATACACAATTAAAACCCTTTGTTTTAGGCAAAGCACTTGGATCGGCATTTTTATTTAATGCCAAAGATGGAGATTGAGAAGAATGCAATAGATTAATATGAAGTTGTAAGTGTATAATTTAATACACGACTAAAACCCTTTGTTTTAGGCAAAGCACTTGGACCGTCTCCTATCAAAATAGTCTTTATGCTATTAAGCTCAAGCACATGGAATTAATCAGATGAAGCTAGGAGTTATTCTAATTAGGGTTGTGCAGAACCTGACCCACCCGTTCAAACCGACCGACCTGAAAATCGAGAGAGACCAACCCGGAATGACCCAAACCCGACTCTCCTTACCCGATCCGCCATGCAATACGGCGTCGTTTTAGAAGGTTCGGGTGGGGTATACAATTTTGCAAACCGACCCGTCCGAATACCCGAACTATCCTAGGGTTCCCTAAGGCGTTGTATAATACGGCGTCGTTCCATCAATGTATATATACATGCCTTCCACCACTTGGTCTTCATTATCTCATCTGCGCAGCTGACCTAGGGTTTGAGATCTGAGATCGCATCTCTCATTCTCTCGACTCTCAACTCTCTCAGTCTCTCAGACTCTCACTCTCTCAGACTCTCAACTCTCTCAGAGTCTCACTCTCTCAGACTCTCAGTCTCTCAGAGTCTCAGTTCTCTCAAGAGTCAAGACTCATCACGCATCAGTCATCTCTGATTCTGTAAATCCGTAAGGTAAATCTCTAATCTCTTAATCTCTATTTCTCTAATCTCTAATCTCTTGCAGTCTTACTCTCTAATCTGTAATCTCTAAATCTCTATTGTCTAATCTCAGGGTTCTCAGAATCGAAGCGTTGCAATCTCTAATCTCTTACTCTCTGTCTCTGAGAATCTAAGTGGTAGAAGCCGTAGTGAACTGGTGATTAGAAGCCCTTGTTCTCCGGGGATTATTTGGGAGAAATCAAGTAAATCGTAAACCCTAGTTTATATTAAGAAAATGTTTGTGAGTTGTGACTTTGTGTTATATTATATTATTATGATGATATGTGGTGAATATTTTGAGAAAGCAGTGTGAAATCAAATGTCCCTTATTTGTGAATTTTTAAGCCTTTGAATCTTTGAGACTTTGATTAGGGTTTCTATGACTGATGAATCTATGATTATGTGGACTGTGACAGTGTGAATCTGTTGAGAAGTTTCGGATGACATGTCACTTGTCTCTTATTTGTGATTGTATGATTTGTCTGTATTGTTTGTGGAAGCCCCCAAGTCCCTAACCCCTGTTGGCTGTTCATTGTTGGTGAAAATGGTGGAAGCCCCAATTGTAACTACCAACTGTGAAATCCAGTAAAATGATGAATGTACAGTTCAAGCTATAACAGGTTCCTGATTTCTGGATTTCTTTGTCACTTTTTGTGATTAATGTGATACTGTGATTGTATCCCTGTATGCCTGTATAAGTTATAAGTTTATGGATGTATGACCCTTAATAGTTAATCCCTTAAAGTCCCAAGTATGAAGTCTAGAAAAATGATGAAGTTAAGAGGTGCCTGTCTTCTGATTCTGGATTTCTCTTGTTCTCTCAGTTCTCTGTGACTATCTGAATATCTGATTTTGTTCAATATGTGGAAGTCTAATATGTAATACTTCTATGTATAATGGTGGAAGTGTAATATGTAATACTTCTATGTATGATTGTATGGTGGAAGCTTTAATATGATTGTATGATTTGTAATCTCCCTAAGATGTGTTTTGTTGTCTGCTTTATGTGGATACTGATGCCCATCTTTATAGATGGAAAGCATCAGTGCATCTGGACACCCTCCAACCTCAACTGATGAGGAGCATGGAGTAGAAGCTCAAGGTACTGAGAGAAATCCTTAGACAAATCCTATGCCTTCTCCTCCTGTTGTTCCTACAAAGAAGAGGAAAGAGGTGGAGTCTAGATCTATAGTATTGATTACTGTAATTTGGGGCAAACAAATAATACCCGGAGTATTCGGGTTGTCGAACCACAGAGAGGTGGGGTACTAATCACTAGCTACTAGGTTACTCATATGAAACTAGTCCAAACAAAACTTGAAGGTTGATTGATTGCATAAAATAACAAGCAGAATAAAATAAGTAGCAAGGTTTTCTAGACAATAGAGCAAAATAGGATTCTTGGGGTCACAATGTTTAATCACCTAGTGCCAATTAACGTTTGTAATATTTGGTTTGGAATTAAGATTTGTATGGGAATGCAAAGTGGAATCGAATTACTCCCGTAATCTCTATTCCTAGTGAATTTCCACTCCCATGGCTTAAACACCCAATAAGATCAAAGATCAGCATTCAATTATTCCTAATTACTACCATCTCCCGATGAGCAATAATCTAGAGTAAACTTCCCCTAATAAGTTCCCCTTTCCCAAGGACCAACCATTAGGTGCAATCGTGTGTGCCCTAATTTATGCCCCAACTCCCATTGGTGACACAAACATGACTGTGAAGCTAGTAATTTAGGCCTTTAACTACCAACAACAATAGATTAAAACAAGATTGCAACACAAATCATAAAACCAAACATAAATATATTAAGAAATTAACGAACTAGGCACATAGGTTTATAAACAAATTCACCCAAAAATACTTAAAGAATTTAGCCGAGCATGGCTAAATTATACATAGCAAATATGAATAAAGGATTACAAATCATCAAAAGAGTACAAGAATTAACCAAGCGATTCTCCCAAATCTCCTTGGCTTCCTCCTTGCTTCCAAAGACAACTTGAGCCTCTTGATTCCTCTCTTTCTTGTCTACAAAGAACTCTAAAAATCTCTCGGTCTTGCATTAGGGTTGAGGGAAGGAGGGATTTTATAGTGGGTACAAAGTTGAGATGAAATAGGAATCTTGTACAAAATTGGACTCAAATTATAATTCCTATATTTAAATAAAGAAATTGGAAGTTGAAGATGCTGAAGCCAACGCCCTTTTGTAATTAAGTTGGCGCATTCGCGCTTCGCTCGACGCGTCGAGCCAAGTCTCGACGCGTCGAGACCAGCGGGTCTCGATCACAAAACATTCTGGAAATTTTCGACGCGTCGAGCCTTCTGGTCCCCGAACTTGTCCAAAATTGCTCCAAACTCATCCTTGAACTTCCCTTGCTCATAGAATTGACCTACAATGGTTCAAAAACACTAACAAACACCGTAAAACATTTAAAACAAGTGTGAACCATAATTAAATGATAATAGCAAGGAAAATATGTATTAAATAAGCAAAATTAAAGAACTTAAATACTGAGATGATTCAAAATAACTATAATAACAAGCAAAGATGTGATAACATCACCCCCTCACACTTAAGCTTTTGCTTGTCCTCAAGCAAAACTAAGGAATAAAATCACAAGTCAAAACATACAAATTACTCATGCTCTCTCTTGCACAACCTTTCAAACCACCAACCAACTTGCTACAAAACAACA